ACACACAGAAGAAAAAAAAAACAATAAGATCATTTGAAAAATTACACCCTAAGCAAATCTTTTAAGCTGCATCTCTTGTCACATAACGGTCTCTTGGGCAAGTTTTGACAACTCTTGCATGGCTTAAACAAATATGACAGACACTAGACCTGACAGTCACAGTAAACAGGCCGGGAAGAGCCTCAGGAGGTCACATAGTCCATCCTCCTGTGTGTTGGCAGGTGCAAGGCTCAGCTGGCAGCAGCAAACCTGTCCTGTTGCTGGCAGCATATTGTCCCCAAGAAGCTGCCGATTCTGCTCTTCCCACACCAAAGGGAAAGGCAATGTGTGGTGGTCTGGTGGGTGAAATATTGTGACCTATCTCCCTTTGACAGAGTAGCCCTCTGTTCCCTATAAAATGCTACGGAGATTTCCTGATCCTTCTTTTGGATGGGGTGTCTCTTTGGTGTCCTCTTCTAAAAGCTGCAGGTAAGCCATACAGCCTGTCCCTTGCCTGTGCAAATTTGCAGTGAGGTGTTTGAGAAGCAGCACTTGGATGGCTTAGATGCCAATATCTATTTGTAGTGCAGTTATATTTAATTTCTGCAGGTGTTGCTCAAGCAGCACCAACCCCAGTGCAGGCAGGCAAGGCTCTGGCATGAAGCCCTCCCTGCTGCCTGGGGTGTCAGCCAAGCTGTGCTTGGCCGTGGGAATCGTCCGCTCTTAAAACCTAGTAATGTGGTAAAACAAGGATGGTTGAAGCAGGCTGTAGATCAGTTTGGAGACTGATCTTTTATAAGCACACGCTTGAGAGGCAGTTTCACTACTGAGCTGCACCTGGACAGCAGTGCACAGGCGATGTTGTATGCCCAGTGCTCTGCTGTCCACTGCACAAATGGAACAGGTAATGGGCAGCTGAATGAGAGGAAGTTTTTCCTCTTGCCAAAAGCTTGGTGAATAGTCAACCTCAGAAGAGTTTTATGGCCTCTTTCCCGCCCCCTAGTCAGACTGGATAAATAAATATATCATTTAATGAAAATATTTTCATTTTTATATATATTTTTTGTATTTAAGCTTTCTAAAAGAAAGGTCTGTGAACCAAGAAAATGATTTTTTTTTTAAGTAAAGTGTTATCAGAGTCTCTCAACACAACTTTGATTTTTTTCCTAAAACTTTTCAAAACCAGGCAATCAATTGAAATTGTTCCTTACCCATGAAAAAAAAAAGGACTTAACAAATCAACGTTTTTACAGTGGAAAAAAGTTTCACTGGAAAGTTCCCAATCAACTCTGTTATTTTGTACTTGTTTAACTCACGTCCTCTCAGCATGTGAAATCCACCACATAGAAGAGATCCACCCTCCTGCATAAAATTACGATTTTTTTCCCATAGGTATAATGGAAAATGTACCAATTAAAACACTGAAAATTTTTGTTTTCTTTGTGTTTCCCTGCCTCAGGAAGACAACATAACAAAATCTGGGATTTGATGTCTGTGTTTGAAATGCCATATTTATATCTTCTATAGAACATGCACTATTTTAATAAATAAGACTGCATAGAGTGTATTGTGCTCCCGTGCTTATCCCTTGCCTCCTGGCAGGAAAACTGAAGTATAACTTCTTGTTGTAGCACATGCTATTATTGGTTGTAGCTTAGCTCTTGCTACCAAAAAGGATGGCCTGCTTTTACAGAGGGAAACACTTGCTCCTTTGGGCTACTGGCACTTCTCTAGAGCAATCAGTCTTCCCATTTGTACAGGGAGCTGAGCTGTATCTTTTATGCCGGAGAGATTTAATTGCTTTGACCTTGCTCCCTGTTCTTAGCGGGATTTTCAACAGGATTTGAAAGAAGTTTAGGAGGACTTAGATACCTTGTGTCCATACTCCCAGAAAATGATTTGGTGCAGCTGCCGCCAATAACACTTCCATTTGTGAATATTGCAGCTGTGCCACATGGATCCAACCAGTCCTGCTCAGCCCTGTTCCTGGGCGTTTTTCAACTGCATGCAAAATAGTAGTAGTAGTTACGGTGGGAGTCAAGGAAAGCCTTTGGTCTCTAAACTTAAATGAATTAACTTAGGAGTTTTTTGAGCGTTCCTCCTTCCCTGCTACGTCACTTCACATTTTTAAGCCAAAGGCCTTGCTTTTATAGTGATTTATTCAGCACCTTTAGCAAGCTGTTAATGAGAGGCTGAAACCTGGAGAGTTAGCTGAAATGCTTCAGGGGAAAGAAGGAAGAAAGGAAGGAAGGAAGCAGAAAAAGAAAGAAAGAAAAAGAAAGAGAGAAAAAAGAAAGAAAGGAAGGAAAGAGAAAGAGGAGGACTGAAGGAGAGAAGGAGAACAGGGAAGGAGGAAGGGAGAGAGGAAAGCAAGGAGAGAGGAAAGAAAGGAAGGAAGGATGGAAAGAGGGAAGAAATGATTGCGGATAGAAAGAGAGGGATATTTTGGTCTATTTCTCTGAAGTCTTTCTTCCAAGTTTTATTATTCCCCCTGGTTCTGTGAGCTGGTGGAAACGAAAGCTGGCAAGCTCCACTGAGGAGAAGGTGGCAAAGTCCATTTCCTGGCACAGCCAAGTAGGTTCCCATGTCTAGACAGTGCGTACAATGGTTGGCAAAGGGCCAGAAATAGACTTAATGGATTTACAAAATAGCATTTCTCTGCATTGATTTTCTCAGGGTGTTTCCAGAACACAGTGAAAAGTAGGTAGTTATACTGCACAACATTTTTTGTTAGTAAAAGGCCTCAGAGAGAAGCACTTAATAAAGATACTTCCGATTTGGGTAACATTATCTCAAGTTCTCCTCTTTCAAGGGGGAGGGAGCAGGAGGAAGCCAATAGATCTTACATTAAGTTTAAATATCACTGTCTGTATATGGGGGGTCAGGTGGCGATATTCATTTTGTTTAAGGGTAATTCTTCACTTCTAAAAGGTAACCTTGTTCATAACCCAGCGATGAAATGATGAGGGAGGAGTGAGTAATCCTAAGGCAGGAGGATGAAGAGTTTGGCACCAGCCACATCCCTTTTCCCCTGTGTGGGACAAATTCAGGCTGCAGATTTTTTTTAAATCCGTGTGGTCAGTGAAATACTGCTGTGTGTCTTCTGGGAGGACAAAAGAGGACAGAATTTGTCTTTTTCTGAAAGCAATATATATACACTCTGTGCCTGAAAAGCTTACCCATAGTGCCCTGGATTTCTGGTGCTCTTAGCTGGAACATTTCTGTAATTTTAAGTGAATTTAAAGCCTGTATACAGATTTTAAGAAGCCCTACATACTGGTAAAAGGTTTTTTTGGACCCTGCTTCCCAAAATAGATAGAACAGAGGCTGGTTAAGTCTTGGCATGCCATGCTGTATTTCAGTTAGGACTGGCAACCCCACCCATTTGGAAGTTAACCCTCATATTTGTGGAAACCTCTACCATGTGTCAGAACAGTCACCCTCGGCACCTCGAGACCCTCCTGCAGCCACGTGTTGGCAATTCTAGGACGTTACAGTGTGTGGGGGGGAATTATTTGGACCATAGTAGTGTACTGGAAATTAAAGTCAGGCATATGGTTCTGTAATGGGATAGTTAGCGTACTGGAGTCTGAAACCAGTAATCTGTGCTTTGGAGAGAAGAGATGGTTCAGAAAATGTGGCCTGGGAAAACAGAGTTCAGGTACCGATTTTTCTCTCTATTTTGACCTTGACAAGACCTTCAGAATCCAACTGTAACAGAGATGTAATAGTATTTTCTCACCTCACAGCACTATCAGTAGAGTATACGCTTTGCAGAATGCAAGGGACTTAAATAGAGGGCAAGCAAAGGAATATATTCACATAGATAAATTTATGCAGTTGTTTTGGGTAAAAGGTAGGTTGAAAAGAGACTTTTCTGGCTGTCATTGTGCAAAGCTCAGGAACTAAAAGGTGAGGAAACGGTGAAAGGTAAGGAGGTAAGGTTGAACAGAAGAAACAGCAGAATGAATGGCAATAGCGGACAATCTTGCATGGAGATGGTAAAGATAGATATAAAATCCTGGAAAAGTGGAAGCAGTAAAACTCATCGAACATTGACAAAGGATAAGATTTGAGAAGAGGAAGTCAATCACAGACCATTTTATTAAAATTACTTTTTTTTCTGAAGCAACTGGGCTGATATCCTTTTCTGTAGCAAAGCTGTTATTCTCTGAAGAATCTTCACAGAGTTAGTGTATCCATTATACCCAGCATACACTGGATTTATGACACTAAAATCAGTTGTCAAAGTGACAGACTGACTTTGTGCACCAAAAGCCAGGTTTACCTGGGCAGAGATGGTCCCCAGCAGCTACCACTGGTGCCCCATACTGCCTCTAAACCCTATCTGATCCTGAGGCAGGAATGGCACAGTATCCTCTAATCCTGAGGAGCTGAACATACGCAGCTCATATGTTTTATCCTTCCTGCCACATGCTTTCTATATCTGCTATGCAGCTAGGTTTAGATTGATAAAGCAAAGGGAACTCATAAAATATGTTCGATTGCTAGGGGGTGACATCTTACCCCCACAATTAACTAAAAATCTCTTTTGCTTTGATGTACCAGGATGGCTACAAAAGAGTATTACCAACTCCGTTCCGACACTGTTAGATGACAGAAATATATGGAGGAATGTCCCTATTGGAGACCTGTGTTACAATAATGAAGGGATCCTGCAGTTAAAGGTGAAAAATTTCTGAGGGAAATAGAGTCACCAGAGAGGTGAACTGAAGGGAGAACGGAGAAGTGGACAAGACAAGGACGAGTAGCGTGGCATTTTAGACCTCTCTTGAGCTTCATGTTTACCAAGAAGTTGAGAGGAAAATTAAGTTTGACTTTTTTTCTCTTAATGACTACAGGTAGTCTCACAGCCCTGTAGTTGCTGTAGGGTAGCTATTTTCATCTACCTACTCTGCCAGTTTCACATTCCACAGGGTAGTTCACTCAGTAAAAGGAAAAAATAAACAGAGATACCACATACAAAAACATTTTTATTGTTATTATAATTTGCGGTTTAATGCAATGCTTTAACTAGGAATACAACTCAGCAGAAGTACATACATAGATATTGCATGTAATTTTAGTTGTGTCTTGAAGATATTTCAAACCCTCATTATCTCAGTCCTTCATGAATTGTTTTGGTGAAGCACCTTCCTCCTTCCTCCTGCATAACATGTTCAAAAGTTGCTGAACAACACAGACCTTTTTTCTCCAAATGGAGCACAACACTACATCCAGATTCCCAGTTAATAGGACTTTATCAAACTTTGCTTTAACTGTATGAATGCTGTGTATAATATGTATATATCTATACAGTATATATAAATATATATCTATAATGTATATATAATCAGGTGAGTCAGCTTTACATAGCCAACCATAAACTTGTGCTTATCTTATTTATATGAGATCAAATGTACGGCATCAAGAATTTGACCAGTCCTCGACTTGTAAGATCCTCTGTTTCCCGTCTGGTCATATTGTAATATGATTTTGGATATCATTCACACGTAATTGCATTCCCTTTTTCCTTACAGTAGCTTTTTTTTTTTTGAAGAAAAGAATGCAATTGTTTTTATATAAATGAATAACAGGTTTTACATACCTTTAAGTTAAAAAAAGTCTCAAGAAGAGATGAGGTCCTTCCTCGTGGATACAGCTTGAAGAGTAATTGGACATTCTTTGTAGATATATATACATTATAATCTTATCTGGATAGTATTACACATAAGGTATTATTTCTGTACACAGTCAGGATATGCTGTTGGTCATGTTAAAACAGACTGTCTAAAGGTATTTACAAACTGCTAGTCTCTAACTTACCAGCCACCTCCTCAAAGTGGCACCAGAATTAAGGGATAAGGTATAAGAAGGTCTGTTTTTTTGGCAGCCATGGCCTTCTCTCACTCAGCATTATTATCGTTATTACTACACCACTACGACTGCAATGTGCTTTGGAAAAGGGTTGTCTTTGGGTGCAGGAACAGAGCCACTGGCACAGGCTGAATTTCTTCCCACTCCATAGCCTGGATAAGCCCGGAGAAGTCGAAAAGAAACCCAGCCACGACCTGCCTGTCCCTTTGCAGGCTGGGGCCCGCCAGGCTGTGCTTTCTTCAGGGCTGGCAGGTGAAAGAGTCTTGAGTGAATATTAAACACCCAGAGAAATGCCTCCCTTCTGAGGGCCACTTGGACATACACTGTGACCATCCTGCATCAAATACCACCGATACCCGGTCAGAGCACTTTGGGGCATCTAAAGGAATTGAGTTGCTATGTGCTTCTTTGCAAGTATTGTCTGAAAAAGAAAAAGTAACTCGCTATAAAAAGATGAAAAGAGTAGCTGTCCGATGCCACTTTTCAGATTATCCACAGTTTCGGAGGGGTAAAACAAGCTGGAATTTGTCTCCTGTTATTCAGTTAATGCTGTAATGAAATGCAAATAACAAATCTATCAACTATCCTGAAAGACGAGGCTGGGAGGCCTGGTATACGGCACACTAGTGTAACATACTAGTTCTATAATGTAGAAAAGAAGATTATAGCAAAAGAAGGGAAGTAAAAATAGAGGAGAAATAATTGCACTGGTTGTGGTAAATGATTCATGTTCAGCTCAGCCTGGCTATAATTACATTCTTCAGCTTGGTTTCTTAGTGAATGCTCTGCTAGTAAGCTTTGGAATAAGAGGGAACTCGAGGGAATGGAAGGCTGCCTGACCTTTGCATGAGGTATAAAATAAATCTGTGCGTTTTGCTGTGTGGTACTCCACCGCAAGAATATTCACTCTTTGCCATTATCTACTGTTGTTTCTTGTTTGGAGATGGCTTATTTAAAATTGGGGAGGGAAGCAAATTGCTTTGGCTTTGTTTAACGTGAGGATTTTTTTTTTTTTTTTTTTTGCTTAAAATCCATGCAGAAAGGATTTATGAGACTTCTCACTTCACAGAGAGGTTTTGACTTCCGTGGGGATGATTTGCATGTTAGCGAAGGCAATATTTTTGGTGAGGTTAAAGTGTTCAAATACCAGCACTCATGATGCCTGAAAGGCAAGACAAACTGCACACCTGTCACTAAAACACAGGCAACAGATACTTATTAAAGCAAGGCAAAAAGAAAGCGTTTTATCAAAGACACTGACAAAAGAGGAAAGGCAGGGAGAGAAACAAGAAAGAAAGCCAAGACAAATTAAGGGCCATCTACTAACTTCCTTCAGGGAAAGATTTTCTATAATTTAAAAAAGAAAAGATTCTTAGAAATCTAGAGCTCTTCATGATATACAGGAACAATAAATGCGTTATTATATAGAAATCGTGTTCCTAGCAAGTGTCTCTAGACATGTGGCATAAAACCACATCTATAGACCCAAAGGGGGAAAGAAATGCTTGTCTCTTTTCAGCTTCTTGTTTTCTACCATTTGCACTACTGTCACCTGTGTGTACAGAGCCATCTAAGAGGAGATCTTTAAAAATATCAAAGCCTGTTAGACTCCAGACTCACTACCTGCCAGCAAGCCCAACAGCAGAGGAGACGCAGGGACATGTTCAGCTCTAGCAGGAGGTGAAACAGCAGCAAAGGTCCTTTCCCTCTGTGCCCAGCTGACGATTTCCCCCCATCGCAGCTGGGATGCCCATGAAGCACCATTTCCTGGCTGCTCGGTGGGGTTGCACGGGCTGCAGGGCTGCTCGCACCCCAGCCACCCTGGGTAAACATGCCTCCTCTGTCAATGCGTTTTCCTCCATGAGCAAAATATGAAACAGACAGTTGATAGATTTAGCGGTTACTTTTGTCCTTGTCAGGCTTTGTGGATGCCAAGCAACTGCTCCTGGGGGTCCATCTGAACACTCCAGTTCCCATGAGCCATTGTGAGGCAAAAAAAAGAAAAAAAAAGAAAAAAAAAAGAAATCTGGATTATACTGATGTATTTTTTAGCTTTGGACTGTTTTTCATCAGGCAATGTTTGGACTCTGTGATATCTCCAAACGGACCCTCATGATTCCTAATAAATCAGGAGAAAATCCTGGACAGAAAGCTGACAGATATTTTCCTTAGAAAATGTGTACTCACTAGAAATATGTGTACTCACTAGAGCAGAAATATATGTACTCACTAGAAAACAGATTTCTCGATATTACTTCGGCTGACAATTGTTATATCTCTTTTTCTTTTTCTTTTTCTTTTTTTTTAACCACAAATGACTTTAATACTCACAGAAGGTGCCAGTCAGATTGACACATCTGCAGGCTGTTGTGCTCTTTGTAGAGAAGGAAGGTAGGGATGGCCTGTGACAGTACAAGTCACCCCCCCACACACGGCTGTCAGCATGACAGATCCTGCTGTAGCTGGGCTACTGTAAAGGGTAAAGCCTCTTCAGTTTTAAGGATTAATGAAGAAGAAGAAAAGGGGAAGGCAAGACGTGCTCTCTGCAGTTTCTTTTTGGTTTGTTTTGCATTCAGGAATTACCTGTACAGTTTGCTCAATTTGTGTGGGACATGACAACTGCCAGCCCGGCAAAGAAGGTGGAAGTGCAACCGGGGTCCTTTCGCCAGCCAGGGTGTGAAGCGGCCGAGGGGTGGCTTCGAGGGGCGAGGGGGTGACAGCAGGGAGCACAGCGGAGAGCAGGCGTAATTGCAGCCTGTAGCCTACGCTTCTCAACCTGTGTATGTGCCCTTAGCTGTCAGAGGAATTAGCAATTTATGAATGAGTGCTAGCTTCAAAGGTCAGACTAAAACATTTGCACACCTCCTGGAAAACCAAAGTTAAAAGATGGCTTATAAGACTAAATAAACCAGTCTTTCCCGCTTTGTGAATCTGTACCTCTACTGAAAGAAAGGAGCAGCTGGGTTTCTTTTAGAAAACTTTTCTAAAGAAATAAGATACAGAAAATGAACAGATTTCATCTTATCTTTGATTTTTATCTGGATTTTCAGCACTTTAGGAGAATAAATGATATAGCAACGATCATACAAGTCTTTCCCTTGAGCTCTCAACATATGCCTAGGGAATGTAGTTTTGAAAGACATGCAGCACTTAGTTTTGCAAGCCTTATCAATGAGTAATTCTTCCTTTCATGCAGGGAGATGAAACTTGTGATAGTAAATATGCTTCAAGGTGAGTAAGAGTTGCAAAATTAGATCCTTGGCTGCATGGAGACACTTAGATATATTGGGATGAAATCACTAAAGGTTTAAATCAATGAATGCATATTAAGACATATTAATCCCCGGTTTAATGTGATCTTAATTTACTGCAGTTTAATCCTCCTCATTTTCCCTTTCTGCCAGGAACTTTTACCTTGAAACATGAAAACTGTCATATTGACAAAATTCTTTGACACTCAGTTCCAATAAGCTTCTAAAAAGGTAAAACTTACATATGAAAGATTAATTTCCTCATAATCCAAAAGGTTGCTACTTTGCAGTGTGTTTTGGAAGACTCTGATATGGTAGTATGAAATAATAGGACGATCTGGTGTTCCTTTTGGTTGGCAGCTTTCACTCCAGAAGACAGTCCCTCGGGAGACTATCAATGCAGCAAGCTACTTTTTGGATAACAAAATCCACAGGTGCACTTTCATTAATGCCTGGAAGTTAAGAGTGGCTAAGTAGGAGGTAACTGCAATATTCAAAACTCACAGATGGTAGCTGTTTTCAGTAATCTGATACACTTTGTCCGATCCACACAGTGCTCAGTTGTGCTACAGTAAATATAAAATACTGAAATAGTAAATTCTTCACCAGGCAGAAAGAATCTAAATTTGAGCTGGTGCAGAGAAGTGGATAATATCTGGAAGTTAACTCCCAGTGGTCCCCATCCAGGCTATTTCAGTATCTGGTTTTGTATAATGACTGTTTTCCCCCTTGCCCTTTTATTACTATTATCCCTTGGCATGCAGTGAAAATATTGCTCCCAGCTGGCACAAAGCAACCTAGCCAATATCTTTTCCAAAAAGCAAACATCTTGTCCAGAGTGTGCCTAGGACGGACACTGTTTTTGTGCTAGGAGCTTAGGCAGAGCTGGTCCCATGTGGGTACATCAGCCCCCGTTATTCTCTTCCCCTGCCTCAATAAATGAGTACGAATCGTCTTTTGACTGGACAAAAACGTAGTTATGTAGTATTAACTCTTCAGTCTGTGGTGCCTCAGCATATTTCTTCACCTGCCCATCCAAAGTTAGAAGGAGGTAACCTCCTAGCAATTTCCTAGTAATAACCTGTGATTTCTAGTCCTCAGCTGAGGCCCTTAATCTGGACATTGTGGTGGCTGACTTGATGAGACCTTCAAATTTATGCCGTCTTTTGATATTCAGTTTTTGTGCCCTGGATGAGTAAGGTACAGAAAAGAAGAAAAGGCTGATGGAGGAAAAAGACAAATCAATGGGGGGATGTTAAATAAAAGAAAAAGTACACAAAATTATCTGAAAGCCTTTGGCCTACACGGATGCTGAAACAGTCTTAGGGTGTAACAACCTGGAAAAGACTGCCTTTTCCACTTTTATCCTGACTCAAGGAAGGAACTGGCAGACTTTGAATAACAAACAGGTTGGCAATGGTTACACATTGGGTGGAAATACACTTTCAGAACCGATGCAGTTTTGGAAAGGGTAGTGTCATAAACGTCATAAAATGATTATCACCACAATTTGCCTAACATTAAGGTTCTTACATGAGTAACACATTAATTTAGTCAACTTTGAGTTTTGGAAACCTTCTACTATAATTCATTTGGACTATGCAAAGTCCTTCTAAACCCTATGCCTCTTCCACATTATTATTTTTAAAATTACCTTACACTTCCCCCTGCCCCCCACCCAGATGAAGATATATTAAATAGATGTAGGAAAAAAATAGATATAGACTCTAAAGCCCTTCTGTAGAATACTCTCAGAAAGCAAGGAACTGTGCCTCCAGTCCACATACTTGAATAACTCCTCGTATCATCCCCACGTCCTCAAGATTGATTGACAATAATTAAAAAATAGTTTTAAGTGTAGTTCTCAGGGAGGGAGCTGATGCCCCATGTCAGTATTTCCACTAACCTCCTGGACTGCATGTTCCATAGTAGAGCATAAAGTGCTATGGCATTGTTTTTTTATTCAGCTTGCAACTTCTTCACCCTTTCCATTATTATTTTTTATTATCATTATTATTTTTACCTTGTAGCTCCAATATTCTTGTAATGACACATAAGAAGGTGCTTAAAGGTCTTCTTGAAAGTAGCATTGCAGAGCGCATAACAAGCAGGGTTGATTGTACTGTTGATATAACAGAGCCAGTAACCTATAGTCCATACGGTACCGGGAATGCAGGACGTGCAGAAGCTGTTGATAAGCACCATCACGTTGTATGGGGTCCAGGTGATGATGAAGGCCAGGAGAATGGCCAAAATAGTCCTTGTCACTTTTTTTTCTCTAGAAGGAGGCAGTTTCTTTTTGGCTGGCTGCTTTGTCATCTTGACAATCTTCCGGGCTACACTGTTTTGTTTCTCCTCCTTATTGTTGCCTACAATCTCCACAGTGGTGTTGGTGGGTGCACAGCAGTCACCTTTTTGCGACTTAGTGACTATCCTGATGCATGTCAGCTTGGAGTTCTCCACTTTGAGATGGTCCTGGGAGGCAGAAGCCTGGCTGGCCTCTCTGGCACCTTCGTCCTCTTTCATGTTGGAGGCGACAACACTAACAGAGGTGGAGTCATTGGAGCTCTCCTTCTCCTCCCCTTGAACACAGTTCTCCGTCACAGTCTCTCCAGCGGTTTTCCCGTTCTGGACTTTGCTGTGCTCCAAACCATCCCCACTGGTTGAGATGTTGTTATTGTTTGGTTTCACTATTTTACCTTGGACGAGACTGGGGGAAACTGGATCCTGGTTTTGGGCAGCTTCCTTTTTCCCTTTTTTAATCCGACTCTTGCTGGCTCGAGAGATTTGCCAGTAAAGGACAGTCATGATGATAACAGGCAAATAGAAGGCTGCAATGGCAGTGCCAAAAGTGACGGCCGCATTGGAAAAAAATTGAATGTAGCAATCCCCATCTGGGACAGTCCTTCCCCCCACAATGAACTGCCAGAAGAGAATTGCCGGGGCCCACAGGATGAAGGACAGCACCCAAGCAGCTGCAATCATCATGCCTGCCATCTTGGTGGTCCTCTTTACAGGGTATGTCAGAGGCTTGGTGACACAGAAATATCTGTCAAAGCTGATAATGAGGAGGTTCATTACGGAGGCATTGCTGACCACATAGTCAAGAGCCAGCCAGAGGTCGCACACCACAGGCCCTAGGGGCCAGTAGCCTATCACAGTGTAAAGGGTATATAGGTTCATGGAGAAGACGCCGATGATCAAGTCAGCGCATGCCAAGCTGAACAGGAAATAATTGTTGACAGTCTGCAGGTGCCTGTTGACTTTGATTGACACCATGACCAGGATGTTCCCTATTATGGTGACTAGACTGAGAGACCCTGCTACCAGGACGATGAAGACCACCTCAACAGTTTTATAGGGACTCTCCAGAGCCATCGCATTTTCAGTGGAAGAGTTTATGTATGTTGAGTTATTCATTTCTGTGCTGCTAACAAGATACCCGATTATCACTTAAGCCTGCAGAAGAAAGAAAACAAAACAATACTGTTATGAAATTATTCCCTTTATGTTTGATGAATGGATCCCAGAAAAACTATACGGAAAGAATTTAAAAGTAGCAGACTGTGTGCAGAAGAACCATTCAGCTTTGGCTAATTAAAACACCTTGTAACATATAATATTCCGTTAGGAATAATATACCAATAAGATCTGATAAAATATGTGACAGAAGCACATCCTTTGAATCCAGGCCTAAATTTTTAAATCTTAACATGCATTTCTCTCTTTGATGTATTATAAAATTTACAATAACTTGAAAATTTTGGAACTGGATCTGAATATCGATTCCCACCCCACGAATGTAAAAACTCAGTTTGTTCATTTCACGCCCATTTCCAAATAAAGTGTCCAGCCCTGAGAATTGTCATTATTGGAACCTGACATGAAGATGTGATTTACGAGGAACTGGATCACATATGTTGACCTATCTTTCCTTCAGGTTACAACCGAGTATACTTCTGTGAGGTTCATCGAACAAGTTTGTGTCATCTCTCCCTCTCATTTTCTTACACTACAGTTGCTTTTTTGTCAGCATTTGCAAAGAGGATGGCACCGCGTCAAACTGAAATTATTAGTCTGCTGATAAAAAAAGCAGTGTAGGTCTGTTGAAGTCGATAGAAATATAAGACTCACCTCAGCTGAGCGTCTGGCTGTCTAATTAGATGTCTACAACATCTTTGTTGTTGTTGTTTTCATTTCTGAGGTAAGTGAGATTATTTAAAGTGTTTTTTGTATGTCCTCTTGGCTATTTGTGCTTGGAAAAAGGGATTTATTTTTAATATGAAGAGGTCATCTCTTGATGCTCGTGTGCTCATACTTGCCTCATTTTTTTCAGAAAATAATACGTTTTAATCTATATTGCATAAAAATGTGATATAAGGCATGAAACAGCAGGCCGATGGAAAGAAAGAAACAACTAAAAACCAATTCTGCTCATACACAGCAATCCCTTTTCTGCCCCATATAACCTATTGACAGTATTCAACAAATAGTAATTAAAGCACTAGCTATATATATTTGATAGCAGACCAAGAAAACAGCACACACTTTTGCCTTAGGGATATGTACTATCCTTGTGTACACCCCCTGGAAATCAATAGAATGCACTGGACTTGTACAGCCGATCTCTGAGCAGTCATTATTTATGAGCTGTGCTCCGGGGTTATCGAGGCATGAAGGACAGATGTGACGGAGAAGTTTTAGATCGTTTCTAATTGGAATATTTTCCTTTTTTTTCCCCAACAAGGCACCACTTCTTTAGGATAGATCTTCTAGAAGTAGGGGTATAACTGAAGGAAAACAACACCCCAGTTAGCCTACGTTTGGCTCCTCTATACTTCGGGGATTAAGAAATCCTTCTCTGGCCCCTGTGACAAACCTGTTGATGCTTAGGCACCTACATGTCACTTAAACAGAGCAATGCATTTTCATTGTCATTTCATCACTGCATATTTTCTTTCAGTGCAAGAGGAGGAAGATGATGTCAAATGTGAGCACAACAACAAAAAACCCTTGTGACCTCTAAGAAAAATATGCAAGTCTGCGTCTGTGGAAAAGTCAAAATGTTACACCAAGGTAAGGGCTCTCTGTCTGAGGTAACTTTATAATCTTGCAATTTATACCCAAAGGAACACAACAGGCTGAAGATAGGGCTCGTGCATTTTTCTTTACTTTTAAAAACAGATGAGATTTGTTTGACAATTCTATGGAGAAGTGAACACCTGGATAAACAGATGAGCGTAAGGCTGGACAGACATTTTTTCCTACTATCTGTTCACAGTTACCTGCCCAGAAGCCTTAGCATGAGGTTCAAGACAACAAAACTGTGAGGAGCAGAAGTCTGATAATGAGGGAGAAATGCTTTAATTAGATATGTGTTTTGTATAGTATGACTGGGCTGATGGGAATATAACAGAGTGTATACTCTGTACAAAAAATAGACAGGAGAATAGCCGAGACACCTTCAATCTATAGGACTGCCATTTCAGTAAGTCGCTGTGTCCTTTTTCACCTTAGAGCTGAACAGCTGACTATCCAGTTAGATGTGTAAGAAAGATAATCAGTTTTTTGGGACAAGCTAAGAACATCTCCCAAGCATAGTTGTTTATGAGCATTCTTGAAATAATGTATTTTTGATGAAAAGATGAAATATCTCTCAGAGATGTATTGATTGATGTAGTGATTCTGTGATTCTGTGATTTCAAAACAGATTTCAGCTAAAAAAATGTTTGGGATCCAGGGCTCTCCAGCTACCTCTGGTGACAGAGAGTTAGAGAGGGAGCAAGACAAGCTGGTAAAGGGAGGGAAGAGAGTGAAAGAGAGGATGTGTGCTGAAAAATTCATGCTTTTTGACTAGCAAACAGGAGTTTTAGTACACTTTCATTTTGCAAAATGTTCAGAGGTTTTATTTTCATTCCACTGAAGTTCCAAAATTAATTTCAAAACCTTGAAAGCTGATGTGAAATGGAATTACCATCTTCTAGCTAACTTTATTACTAACCCTTTTCAGCTGATATTTTTACCTGCTTCCAGTGGATATGTTGATGATTAAGGAATAAATTCATTGGAGATAATTGTCTGGGGTGCAAGGAGCTAGATGAGACCGAAAGGCCAGTTTTACTTGTTAGGAATAGGATTTTGCTGTGTTTGTTTGGACAGAAACAGTGCAAAGGAACCCCTTTCCCAGTGACCTCTCTTTGCACTAAACAACGTGCCTGCCGTGGCAGGGTTGGTAGTTCTGCCCTGTAAATCACATTGGCTGCTACTGCTTTCTTAGGTACAGACAACATGGTGACAAATTCAGCCATCAGTTACTCTGGTAAAATCTTCCCTTGCTTATATCAGTGGGACTGTGAAGTGAAACACATTTTGTGTGTGTGTGTGCGTGTGTGTGTGTGCGTGCGTGCGCGTGCGTGTTGATGAGAACGTACAGGACGGAAGAAAGGGCTTGATTTCAAGCAGCATATATCTTCAGTGTTGACACTGCTACCATTTTGCGCATTTGAGCACCAGGGTATATGTGCTTCCTAATCCAAGAGTCTCTGCAGCCTGCTGGACTGTTTTCTGCTCACTCCAGTAGGGTTTTAATCAGCCCCATATTGTTTCTTATTGTGGCCAGTTGCTCCGGTGGTACCAGACTGCCTGTGGACTGCTTTTGTTTTTGTCATGCCACCAGCCCATCTCTCCCACTGGAGAGGCAGTTGTTATGGAAACAGATGTTGTTCATCAGGCAGACCTAAGGGGCAGAGGCATTTTAAGGTAATACGACCTCCCATTATGAGAAGTACCAGATCTTAGTCTTGCACAAACAGAGCTCTCCTCTGCGAACCCGTGGGTATTTGTGCGAGTTGCACAATATGGCACTGACTCCTGCAGGCTACCATAATTTATCCTTGTGTATGAAGTGCATTCTTGCTAAACAGAGAATATCCAGAAAAGGCAAGAAATCTCTCTTGTGGCCTGAAAAGCAACTACGTTCATTTTCTGAAATATATTCTAAAATATATATGACTCTGTGGTATGCAAACGCCATATTTACTACATGGAAAATGTCCAAGGCCATGAAATGTACAAATAAAATAATTCATGGTTTGATAAGTAGACGGGAAACATTTCCAGTGCAGTAGTTTCCCCTCTCTAAAGAGTTACTTCACAGTAGGGGAAATCATTCCCATTCCCTCTTTCGACTTATGAAAAGTTTTGGATAGGACCAGGGGATTTAGTGAGCCATAACGTACAGGCACCCTTGGTGCGGCGTGACCCTAGGTCTTTTTGCAGCCAGCAATTCCGTGACAGGCAGAAGCAGGGCACTGGCATGGGTTGCTAAACCTGGACCGCTGGCACTTCCCGAAGAGAAACCTGGCACAGGCTGCCGTAAAACTTCCCAGGGCATGCTGGCGCCA